AGGTTTTTAGAAATAAAAAACTGAAATGTCACGTTTACATATGTATTCAGACCCTTTACTCAGTACTTTGTTGAAGCACCTTTGGCAGTGATTACAGCCTCGAGTCTTCTTGGGTATGATGCTACAAGCTTGGCACACCTGTATTTGGGGAGTTTCTCCCATTCTTCTCTGCAGATCCTCTCAAGCTCTGTCAGGTTGGATGGGGAGCATCGCTGCACAGCTATTTTCAGGTCTCTCCAGAGATGTACGATCAGGTTCAAGTACGAGCTCTGGCTGAGCCACTCAAGAACATTCAGAGACTTGTCCTGAAGCCACTCCTGCGTTGTCTTGGCTGTGTGCTTAGGGTCGTTGTCCTGTTGGAAGGTGAACCTTCGCCCCCAGTCTGAGGTCCTGAGCGCTCTGGAGCAGGTTTTCATCAAGAATATCTCTGTACTTTGCTCCGTTCATCTTTCCCTCATTCCTGACTAGTCTCCCAGTCCCTGCCGCTGAAAAACATCACCACAGCATGATTCTGCCACTACCATGCTTCACCGTAGGGATGGTGCCAGGTTTCCTCCAGACGTGACACTTGGCATTCAGGCCAAAGAGTTAAATCTTGGTTTCATCAGAGCAGAAAATCTTGTTTCTCATGGTCAGAGTCCTTTAGGTGCCTTTTGGCAAACTCCAAGCGGGCTGTCATGTGCCTTTTACTGAAGAGTGGCTTCCATCTTGCCACTCTACCATAAAGGCCTGATTGGTGGAGTGCTGCAGAGATGGTTGTCCTTCTGGAAGGTTCTCCCATCTCCACAGAGGAACTCTGGAGCTCTGTCAGTGTGACCATCGGGTTCATGGTCACCTCCCTGACCAAGGCCCTTCTCCCCCGATTTCTCAGTTTGGCCGGGCGGCCAGCTCTAGGAAGAGTCTTGTTGGTTCCAAACTTATTCCATTTAAGAATGATGGAGGCCACTTTGTTCTTGGGGAACTTCAATGCTGCAAAAATGTTATGGTACCCTTCCCCAGATCTGTGCCTCGGCACAATTCTGTCTCGGAGCTCTATGGACAATTCCTTCGACCTCATGGCTTGGTTTTTGCTCTGACATGCACTGTCAACTGTGGGACCTTATATAGACAGGTGTGTGCCTTTCCAAATCATGTCCAATCAATTGCATTTACCACAGGTGGTCGCCAATCAAGTTGTAGAAACATCTCAAGGATGATGAATGGAAACAGGATGCACCTGAGCTCAATTTCGAGTCTCATAGCAAAGGGTCTGAATATGTTCGTAAATCAGGTATTTCTGTTTTTATTTTTAATCAATTTGCAAAAACATTCTAAAAACCTGTTTTCACTTTGACATTATGGGGTATTAGACTAAGGCTGTAACGTAACAAAATGTGGAAAACGTCAAGGGGTCTGAATACTTTCCGAATGCACTGTAGTTAAGTCAAAGCTGAATGAAGACAAGGTGTCAAAGGGATTAATAAAAAAGTATAAATATGCAATTTTATATGTACTTAATTTGATAAAATATAAAAAATGCAATTAAGTTCTTCTTTTTTGTTTGATTATAGAACTATAGTTACAAACTTGAGGAAATAACATGTGCACTAGTCTTGTAGTGACACAGTAGTGAAATAAGACGTCAATAGTGAATTTTGAATAGGCAAACAGTAGTAAAAGTGTCAGTTTTCAATAGTAATTCAAAAGGGTTTATGTAGGAAATGAAAAAGGATCAGAAGCAATTCAGTAGTGATCAGCAGTGACACATCACTACACACATTGATAGCAGTAGTAATTAAAATCGGGATTGAGTAGGCATTCCGCAGTAACGTGTAGCATTGTGTAGTAATTCAATAGAGAATGTGTAGGAATGTGGGTTTTAAGTAGTAGATCCCCAAAAGCTCAGTGGTTACACAGTAGTCATTAATGAAGAATTATGTAGTAATTTGAGTAGGAAATATGTAGTGTCCACCAGTAGTGAAACGTCCCAATTTATCATGCATTACTACTTAAATTACTACATAAATCCCGACTGGTTTACTACACATCTCAATAGCAATCAAGTAGTAAAACCATTAGGTTTTGTGTAGCTATTGTGTAGTAGTGATGAGTAGAAATTCAGTAGTACTTTTTCACAAGGGTCGGGCGTAGGCAGCAGTAGTAGCCTCACATACACCATTGCCCTCACTCTGAGTGTTCTCGCATTCACACCAAACTCCAAATGCCAACAGCCAAGCTCCTACAAGGCCATCCCACCACAGCCACCAATGTAAAAAGTCAGATAGAGAGGTGTAGGCCTAATATGGGAATGATCCATGTAGTGCAGAAGTGAGAGCACTAATCCTGCGCCAGCGCCACAAAAGCCCAGGCATTTGGTGAAGGTGGTTAAAACAAACCAATGAGAACACTGTTTGTAGAGTGCATGGCTACTGAGGTTTGCGAGATGAACTGTTAAAGGAAATGGACACCTGCCTCCTAGGCTGCATCACCTCCTGTATCCACTTTTTGGTTCTCATCTTTTTGGTTTGTTTAATGTTTTACTTGTATTGGTTTCAAATGTGTTCCTAAGCCATAGAATGGCCACTGTAACTGAAATGAGAACTAAATGGAACCTTGCCTTATGTTGGAAAATTGCTTGTTTGGTCTGTACTTCACACTGCCTGCTCAACCCAGCTCGAACAGAACCTGCCACCTTTCCACCCCGTGATTACAACAACCATATTTAGCTACATTAATTGCTTTAGAGATCGTTCAGACATGCTCTTTACCAAATCAGATGTTGCCTACTGTAATTTGAGTTGCGCGTTGCATTATGGGACACATAAGTGCAAAAAGGATTAGCAAAGGGAGGCTAGCTAAAGAACCTTAACGAAACGGTACAAAAATTAACGTTTTGTAAACCTTTTAAAAACAACTTGAGCTATCGACAGCTCCAAGTATTAATGAAAATCTCAAATTTATCTGTGTTTGGCCAACGAATGCTTCCCAAACACAAGGAATTCAAAAGAACGGGCTAAATCGGCACCGATAACAACCAGACTGCTTGCAAGCTAGGCTGCTTTGTGCTGCTGCACGCACAGCTGTGGTGTGTTTACATCGGCCTCATTTGACTCCACAACCCGAGGCCGATCAACAGACCGAATCACACACTGTTCTATCTACTGAAGGTATATTTTGTTGCATAGTCAGTAACTAGATCTCTGAAAACTGGTAGCTAGCTAGAAGGTGCTAGAAGATTGGTGTATTTTTTGTAGTTTGCTAGCCAGTCAAGTGAAACGTTTTTGCATCAACGTTACGTTAGCATGCTGCGTCAGCTGGTGGCTTGTCCAAACCTTTATAAATGTTCATAGCCAGCTAACTAACTATTCGTTTTGACTTTTACATAGCTTTATTTGTTAGCTAACTAGCTTGTTAGCTAGCTAACTCGCAACGTGTTATTTGCAGCATGCAAAGCACTGTTCATGTTTACAAGTGAAAATACTGGGTTCAGTTGAACCCCCGCCCCTTTGACTGTAAACATAATGCCTGTCCCAATTTTGGACGAGCTCTATTAGCTAGTTATTTGTGTTGCACTTGCACCTGATTTGATTTGTAAGCACTAATAAGTTCGTTGCAGCTGCTAACAACGTAGTTAGCTATTTTTGTCAGTACGATGATGAAAACTCAAGAAAGTTAGTGGAGTCAGTTGAGACAGTTCAAGTAGGGATAACGTTCTAGGGATGTTTTATTTCATAATGCAGGCTACTAGGCCTAGGTACTCGTCAATGGTTTTTTAGCTTGAGTTTTTGTTCTGTTTCTACGGTGCATTATGTAGGCATATTTATGGACCCTTCACCTGGAAAAACGTTAGGCTAGTTGTTGAAAGTTGAAGTCTGTCAATGTTCGAGTTGGGTTTTGGATTAGGTTAGCCCAAATTTAGAATCAAGAGAATATGATTTTGAAAGGTAGACAACAACCCACACTCCTCTCCTCCACTGCAGCTAAAATCAGTGGTGTAAGGCTAATTTGCGTTGCCTTTATTGGGCCAACAGCCTGAGAGTATTTCCTACTTCTTTTTTTCTTAGTGAGGGCAGCAAGCTCTCCCAAAGAGAGCCCCTTCAGGAGAGAGTTTTGTTTGATGGAAAATATCATGCCTCAGAGCAGCCACATGTCTGAGAGAGCGAGGGAGGGAGACAGGCAGCTGCACTGCATCCTGTAGTGGACTCCACATGAATTTGGCTTTCACCATGATGCATCTGCTTTTATTGTTGTTACATAACTTGCCATTTTATCCTCCATGCTGTCTACCGCTCTCTACCGCCATCCACCCTCTCACCACCTCCCTCGCTGCCCGCTCTCTTTCGTAGTAACTCCTTGGAAGAAACCAAACTGGACCTTTAGGTTAAAATTATATGCTTTTACACAATTACATTATTTGTTTGAACAATTTGGCTGTAGGTTTTTGTTGGAATGTAGGATAATGTAAGCAGCACTTCAGTTGTCCTCAACCATCAACAATTAAGAATGCAGATTGTTAGGTTGTTTGTTTTGAGATTTGTTTATATTCTCTCTAAAACATTGCAAGAGCTGTAAATACATTGTCTCTGGCTTTGAATATCCACATAAATTTATGCTAGTAGCACATTTGTACATTCAATTTTTTGGGATGCAGCTTGAGGTTGACAGACCGGCATTTCTTCCGCCGCTCTGTTAAGTCCATGTCGTGAGGCCAAATGAAAGTCATCCCAGACAATACTGACTGTTGTCTGTTAACACTTCATTTGTTAAGTTGTCTGTCTGTGTGGTTACTCAGGCTAAACTGAGCTCCTCTAATCCAATCATCTGACAGAGTAGGTTTACTACAGTATGTGGCAGTTTTTTTCAATACCATGACTGGGTTTATATTCAGGTAGTTTTTTTATTTTAGTATAGCCACCATTTAACATCCATAAGGATAATGAAATACAAACATTACGTTGACTTTATAGCAAAGGCCCAATGTAGGCCAACATTTGTAGGCTAATTTTCCATTCTTCCTGTAGGTGAACGCCCTCCAGAGCAAGTACGCTAAGACAAAGATGGGGGTCAAAACCTTTACCCACAGTTCCCCCGCGCACAGTCAAGAGATGCTGGAAAAGCTAAACGCCCTGCGCAACGAGGGCCACCTCTGCGACGTCACCATCCGGGTCCAGGACAAGTTGTTTCTGGCGCACAAGGTGGTGCTGGCCTGCTGCAGCGAGTTCTTCCGCTCCAAACTAGTGGGCAGGCCTGAGGAGGAGGACAAGTTTGTGTTGGACTTGCACCACGTCACGGTGAGCGGCTTCACCCCCCTGCTGGAGTACGCCTACACCTCCACCCTCTCCATCAACACAGAGAACATCATCGACGTTTTAGCCGCCGCCAGTTACATGCAGATGTTTGCCGTGGCGAGCACGTGCTCGGAATTCATGAAGTCCAGCATCCTCTGGAGCGCCGGGAACATGGGGCAGGAGAAACCGCAGGAGTCGGCTCTTGGCGAGAGCACTTCCTCCCACTGCGCTTTGACCCCGTTGGACAGCAGCCTGTCGCCTGTATCGTCTGACTGCAGCGTGATGGAGAGGAACATCCCTGTGTGTCGCGAGTCACGCCGCAAACGTAAGAGCTTTATCATGATGTCCCCAGAGAGCCCACTCAAATGCACCTCACAGATCACCTCGCCGCAGATGCCCAACCCATCGCCCTCTTCCTTCTCGGAGAGCGCCACCCAGCCCGTGGACTCTTCCCTGGCTTTCCCGTGGACCTTTCCCTTCGGTATCGACCGTAGGTTCCACCAGGATAAGCAGCCCAAGCTTCCCGAGAGCCCACGTCGTCTGGAACAGGCAGGGCCCTCGGACGTGAGCCGCCGGCTGAGTGATTTCCTCACCTGTGAAAGCTCCATTAAGGCACCGTTGTCGCTGGCCGGCACCGAGGAGAACGTGCGTGTGAAGGTGGAGAGGCTAAGTGACGAGGAGGTCCAGGACACGTCGTCGCAGCCCGTCAGTGCATCCCAGAGTTCCCTGAGCGACCAGCAGACAGTGCCCTGCAGCGAACAGGTCCAGGAGGACCTCCTCATCAGCCCGCAGTCCTCCTCCATAGGTATGAGTATCACATGAACGGACATAACACTCCAAAGTCAGTCTGTCAGATGTTTTCAGACCTCAACAGTAGTCTTATGTCAAGCTGAGTCCGCAACACACGCCAACGGTTGTGTAGATATAGCTATATGCCTCGACCCCAGATGAATGGAAGGGCTAGGCCTAAGCACATCATCTGGTGTGCATATCTTTTCCGTTAATTTTGGATTGAGGCATGTAGCTGGGTCTACATAATGGATGACCTAGGATGTGGACTTATCTCAATACAAGACCACCAACTTCTTTTTCTCTTTACACTTTTTTGGAGTGTAATTTCCCTCTAAACTTAAAGGGCTAATCTGCAGTTGTTACATACTTTTTTTGCTTATAAATTAATTCTATTTAGGCCAACCCATTGATTCTTGAAGAATATAACTTATAATTGCCTCATGAACTTTGTTCAACTGTCATACCCCATCAGAATGCAAAATATATTATTGTTTTACTCAAAGTAACAAAGTATGTGTAAATACAAACAAACACTGTATAGCCTCAAAACATTTTAAAAACTATAATTTTGATATCATGGATGGTCAATCCTTGGATCGATAGCTCTGTCTATGAATTTCGGCCCCATTCCTCAGCTGTTTTCCCAAACAGTGGCAGGGAGGATGCTTTATTGTTTCAACTGCAGATTGCCACTTTAAAGCTATTCAGTCTTTGCATTCGATCTGTGTATGGGTTCTATCCCGAACCATGTCTTATGGAAATCAGACTGAGAAAGAGCTAGTAACTGGTGGAAATTATATTTCTTCTTTGTTTTGGCATAGGTTCGTTAGATGAGGGAGTCACAGAAGGGTTGCCTTCAATGCAAAGTACATCCAATGCTGGAGGTCATGCTGAGGATGATGAAAGGTAACAATAATTGGTTGAAAACTTAGTAGCACAGATGGTACGGAAAAAGTGGAAATATATATATATATTTTTTAATGTAAGTGGAAATATCATGATCAACTTCCCTGGTTTTCAACTCCACTTGTTTGGAAGGTTTGATAACCTTGAGATGTTCTTTTGTTCAAGCTAATCTTGCATTTATGTAAGATGTTCCATTTTGCCTTCCAACTGGTATGGAAACCTTGAGGTCTTGATGTTATTATGATGAAGCTAAAGGAAGGTTTTGATCTGACGCCACAAGCCTTACCACATTTGTGTGTACCTCACTGAAGCATCACATCCTCTTTCTTGTTTCTCAGATTAGAAAGCCTCCAGTACCCTTACCACTTATACATAAGCCCTTCAACCCGCCCTGGCACTAACGGGCCTGACAGACCTTTCCAGTGCCCCACGTGTGGCGTCCGATTCACCCGCATACAGAACTTAAAGCAACATATGCTCATCCACTCTGGTAGGTATTTCCACACATCCACTATGCAGTTGAACAGGGCTGTGTAGTCTAACTACTGCGCTGCGGGTATCTGTTATGTCGTAGGTACCCATCTGGAAAGTGGCTCATGTGACTTGTACTGTATTTACATTGTCCTCTACAGTAGTTCCATGCGTCCTCTATCCACCTGATGATAGGAGCCGGAGATTAATGGTATGAATGGCTCTTTAATGGTTTGACTCATGGCACACTGTGGAGAAGGATGAAGGGCATTCCAGGGAACATTGATTTAGGAAACACTTGAGGCTTAGTGTCTCCCGCCTCGGCTGACATCGGAAAAACACACTCATCAAGTACACACGTGCACACATACCCAAACTCTTGCTTGACGACAGTGGAACATTATAACAGGAAATGATGTCAACCAAATATCGACACATCTCAACTTGACTCTTAACCTTCATAAACAAGCAGTGTTAAGTTCAATGAGATCGAGTGTTGTTGTTTCAACGTTTCCAGCCCTTGATACAACAAGTTTGATTTTGGAGTGTAATGTCCCATTAATGTATCCTATAAGCTTGAAGCATGAAGTTCTCAATTGTAGAGAATGCCTACTTTTAAGTTGTCTATATAGCCAGTTAGTAGTTGTCCAAAATCAGGCTTGCATGTGGACAGTCCCATTTGTGCAGCCATGTACGGTTACAGCATGTGGAAAGTAACTAACTATAGGCTGCAGGCAATGACTCCACATTGTGTCCCAACATATTATGGGATAATGGTCTCTGGTACTCCAAACTTCAGACACACTGCTCACATGAATCAAAAAGACCACCAAGGTATTCATTGGGGTTCCATCCCCTTGCCAAGACACATATCCACTGCCTTGCAGCTGTGTCCAGAGGTTTTTCACTACTGTAGCTCCTGTGTGGTATTATTATTCTAAACTGGCCAGTCAGATATACTGTAGAGTAGGGCTGACTATCTGGTTGGACAAGACTTCATGGTGCTCAAGTCTTCAGGGTCATTTAAGCTCGACCCATAGTGTTGTATTGTATGCAGTTAAAAGTAATGCAGTTCACGTCTGCTTAAATGAACCTGCTCTGCGCAATGGGCTTCATTGGAAATTCTCGTGAACAAATGCGTCAAAGAGCCGTCAAGGTATTTTTATATTTCTCATTGAAAAAAGTTGGGCTTATGTTAAAGTCGTGGCATGTTTTACGAGGGCCATAAATAACTGAGTCTACGGAAGCCCTTTTTGTTGTATTCCATGGCCACTGAGTTCTATGGAAATAATGTTGTGTGCCAACTCAATCTCCCTTCATATTGTTCCCCTGGTCCGTTCGGCTCAGAAATGCTTGTTGCGACTTATGCATGTCAATGAACCATGTGACATTGGAGACTGGATGCCTCGGTCATAGTTTCTTTGGTGTGCATGCACACTATGTTGTAGGTCCGTTTCTTTAGCTATTACGCTGACACATTTTACACATCTATTTTTAACACTCACAAGTACAATTTTTGTGATACATTTTTAACATCGACATCTTTTTTTGTTTTGTGGAAGTTTTAACATTGACAATTCTAAAAATCAATGTCGTAATGCAGAATTAATAGTCAATCTATTGTAGTGATTCTAATGTGCAACACAAGTAATCTTTCTCTTCCTCCTCTTCTCAACAGGCATTAAGCCCTTCCAGTGTGATCGCTGTGGGAAAAAGTTCACACGGGCCTACTCCCTAAAGATGCACCGGCTGAAGCACGAAGGTAAACGCTGTTTCCGGTGCCAGATTTGTAGTGCCACATTCACGTCCTTCGGCGAATATAAGCACCACATGAGGGTCTCCCGCCACATAATCCGCAAGCCCCGGATTTACGAGTGCAAAACGTGCGGCGCCATGTTTACCAACTCTGGCAATTTAATTGTACACCTGCGGAGTCTGAACCATGAGGCATCTGAACTAGCAAACTACTTCCAGAGCAGGTGAGGAGTCCCGGGGTGTCGTCCCTTCATTTACTCAGCTTAACGTAACACGGGAAATAACCAAAAAATACAAATAAATCTCCCAAAGTGGCCATGTTCAGGGAGAAATGCTATTTCAAGCTTTTCAGAATTGGTTCATTAAACAGGCCCAACTAACTGTTGCACACTGAGCATACTGTAAAACTTACAGTACAACACATCTCAGTCATGCTGAATATGTGGTTCAAAGCAGTCTTTGGCCACTTTCCTCATAATCCCTATGTAGTTGGCAATATATATATATATATATATATGAATTAGCTCAAGGGTAATGTAATCTATTACATTAGTTACTATTGTGTATTTAGTTGTCCAATTTCTTAATTGAACCATTCCATGCTGTTATCTGAGTTGCTAGCCTTTGGGAAACATACAGTATCAAATTATACGTGCTACGGGCTTTTAATCCTTGCGTCTCGCAACAATTTTGATAAATTACATAACCTATTTCTGTCAGAATGCATTTTGCTTTTCCATATAGGAATTTCACTCAGTTTAATGGCTTTTATTCAAATGTAGAGTTCATAGTACCTAACGTACTACATAAAGCAGACATGTGCTTATATATTCTAGACTTTTCCACTTCTTAATCAACTCAAGCCCTTACAGGTTGGTAGGGCTCAAATGGGCCATTTACTTTTTAAAATGTTATAGTATAATGTCTACGCCTGAGATCATAACACTGTATGGAAAATTATTTGGCAATCCAGTTTGATTCTCAAAAAACAGATCACCGGCCTCACACAGTCCTCACATAAAAGATCTGTCACCGTGTAAATGTGCCGATTTCATCCGTTTTTCATATTGCCTTTGACTTCCACCATATTTACTGTGTAGTCTACTTCATATAGGAGGTTTAGAGACACTGTTATCAACAGCCTTCTATCGTCTGTTATGTCTCCACATGGTCCCAGTGATTTCCTCATGCCCGACTACCTGAGCCAAGTGCAGGAGGAGGAGACTCTCGGGCAGTACGAGCTGGTGGAGCACGGCTTCGAAGGCAACAACTCGTCTGTCCAGATGCCGGTCATCTCCCAGGTCTCCTCCACCCAGAATTGCGAAAGCAGCACCTTCCCCCTGGACCCTTTATCCCTGAAGGACGAAAACATGTCAGAGGAGCCAAAGACAAACGGCAGTAGCAGCTCCCCGGACGGCTCGGAGGAGGAGAACGCCCACATCAAAGAACTGGCTTCTATTACGATTGAGTGACCGTCACCTCCTAATTGTTCCCCCTTCCAATCCAAAGCCCTGACTTTGGAAAGTGCCTGAGATTGCCCTTCTTTAACGAGCATCACTAGAATTAGAGGTCTTAACTTTGCTAACAGTGACAAGTAGTTTCTTTCCTTACTTATTGGATTATTGTTTTTGCATAATGATAGTTCATATGATAGACGCTGTGTTACTTCTTGAGTGCCGTCGCTTCGGGCAAACTGTTAGTGTTACAAAATATTATTTGATAATCAAATACTACGTTGGATTTTGTCGTGGTTTATGTGAGAGGTGTGTATTTATTCCTTTGTGAATAGGAACACAGTACATTTTAAACCTTTTTTTCCTTTTTTTTTTTTTAAACTTGAAATTGCATTGCAGAGCTCTCATTGTCTCTCACTTTCGTTATGCGCAATATGAATGAACTGTAGCTTCTACACTTCACTTGTATTGGGTGTTGTTCATAATTTAGGTATCTACTGGTGGCTTAGACTCTCAAAGGCCGGGTCACAAAGGCATGGCAGCATTTTATTTCATATGTGAAGTCAGTCGTTAAATCATCAAGAGAGACGCACTGCAGCGGCTGCGCTTTCCGATATCTGGAACAGCTAGGCTAAGTTCAAATGTGTAGTTAATTTGTCAGACCTATTTCATTAGAAATACTTGTCCCTAACAGTTTGTGTATGATGGAAGTCTCTATACAGACGTATTTGTAATATGTCAGCTGTGTGACAAAAAACGAGTGTTACTATAACTACAATGGTTAAATGGTTGTTGTTTTTTATGTCACCACAGTGACGTAGAAGTAATATGTCACCGTAAGTGACATATAACTACTATGCTTCAATGTCACTATTTTGACATATTATAATGAGACCATGTTGCATTTGGTGGAGCATGTGTTGGTAGGAATATTCCTACCTAAATTTACACAGACTGTTTACTTTGGACATGACATTTCAGAAGCTAGTGTCTTGAATGTGGGTGACATTCTTTGGACTAACGGTCTACTAATCAAGTGGTCAGCACATTAGAATTTGTAGCTGGGTGCCTTGCTTTTACTGTGAGTTGAGTTTTGTAATTAAGTGTATATGGAGCCAGGAGAGGTCTTCAATGACATGGCCAACATGACATTGCTTTGTATCATTAAGTGTGATCGATAGATATTTTCATCTTCATAATGTTTTAGGTTCACCTTGAGATTTTCGGGTACAGGTTAATTTTCTTTGTCATTGCTTTTCAACAGAAATCTTGCCCTAGCTTGGACACCTGTTACATTGAGCCATCACTAGTCAGTTGCACATCAACATGCCTTTATAATAAGGTGGGGATACTCCATTGATTAAATGCTACTGATATTTATTTTTTCATTAAGTGTTTCATGCCATTTAAGTGTAGTCCTTATCAATTCACTCAATCTTGGTAGTCCTGCAAAAAAACTAAAAATGACTTTTGCGTGCCAAAGAAATGCTAAATAGATTAGAAACTGCGATGGTAAAATTTGTTGGTATTGAATTCTTGACATCTCAACCAGGAATTTGAGATTGGAGTTTTAAAAATATTATCAGGAAAATATGAATTTGATTACATTTCAAATGATGAATCAGTTGTTGTTGTTTTTTTTACCTCTTTTTTTTCTTCATTTTAGCAGACACTCTTATCCAGAGCGACTTACAGTAGTGAGTGCATATCTTGGGTTCAGAGAAGTAACATCATAGTGTGTTTTACAATCATAGAATGGGTGCTCAGAGATTTGTTTTATGATTGTCTCGTGCCATCCAATCAACCGTTCCTAAAAGATGTGGCATTTAGCTTAACTACCCTATGTCTGGGTAACAATCAAGCTCTCCTATTGGACCAAATGTTCCCAATCCCTTTGGGGTTGGCGTATCTACCATTTTAATCTATCGTTGCTGTTGACATCATAAAGTAATGAGGTAATCATGCTTGGTTTCCCCATGCTATTGAAATATTGTGCACAGGAAATGTCATTTTCGCTCCGATAGACACTGTATCGTACTGTGCGTTGGAGAAACTATAGCCTTATATAGGACCTTGCATAGATTCAAGCTGCACAATTTAAAATCTTTAGAGACATTTAATTTTTTCTTACGTTTGAGCATTTGAACGCTTAAGTAAGCTTGTGTTTTGCGTGTGTTTGTTTCTGTTTGTATTCATATACCTTTTTCATAAAGAAATGCTGCTGTTTGTTGAAACTTAAAGTGCCCAAATATTTTTGGTGAACCTATTGTGTGCAATAAATGGACAAGCTGTTGGGTTCTAAGTTTATATTTTATGTCTGAATAATGAAAGAAAAGAATGTACTGTTTTCGTATTGTTGTGTACTTACAATGTGACAAATTAACTGAAGAAAAATAAGCGAGAATCCACTAAATCTGTGAAATCATGAACAAAGCTTAATTGTTTTTTTTTATTAGTAAAAAAAAAAAGTGACTCCTAGGATTGTGGAATGCACGTTCATTTGAAAGTCCTGTGAATCTGAGAGCATGAGCTTTCTTCTGTTTGCTGTTCAATAAGGCCTTGTTGAGGTGAGAGGTGTTAGACCTCAGCACGTATCAGCTTTTTGTTCTTGATTCTTCTCCAACTAAAGTTTTTACAGATATTAGCATGTCTTTCCTTTGTTCCCCAGATGTAGCTTCTCTTATGTGCAATGTTTAAAAAATGTATTGATTATATATGCCTTTTCAATGTGTACATGATATATACATTTCCTGGTTCATATTGTTTGTTGAAAATATGAAAAAACGGTAGCTCTTAGTTATACATTATATATTTTTGTGACTTTTGTATTACGATTGCTGTTTTATGAGTATACCATCTTTTGGATATTCTTGTTAAATGTGAATACAACAAAATGGTTAAGGAATGTGGGCGTTTTACTGTTCACTTTGTGACTGTCTGCAAACAAACATATATATATATTGTATATTCTTTATACTGTAGATTCATTTCCAACTTAGTTTGGATGATTGAAAGGTGTTGTATTTTGTGACTTTGATATTTAATCTATAGTTTCATTTAATGGTTTTAAACATCCCCGTAATGCAATTCGCACATGGTGCAAGAGCAAAAATGTTTGTGGTTTCATAAGCAAGTATTTACTTAGACAGTGTTGAATATTAAACTTTTCCAGATCATTTCCAAGATTAACTGTTCTAAACTGATGAAACCACTTTGTACTGCTATACAGTTAATGGATGTTCCCAATTCTGATCTGTGTTTTTTCCTTATTTGCAATTATATTGTGAAGAGGGGTGTTTTTGTACAGTACAAAAAACAACTAAAATGTAAATAAAAACTTGCATCGACTCCCACCCCCTTGGCCAAGTTATTTATTTTTGAGGACATGAAAGGACAACATATCTGGTATACGTTACTTACACAAACATCTGACTGGAACACATGCCTATAAATAATTTTCTTAGCTATATGCCAAAACAATAAAACCCACCAAGCTCAAAAACAGAGTTCTGAATCATTATGCTTTAACACTTGCCTAATGATGGTGTTTGTGTTTCCTACTCATAATCCTGTTTACTACTGTTTATTGCTAAGAAAAGCACTGTAGGCTACAGATTAAGTGAATCAAATGTACTTGTTGTTGATTATTCTGATTCATTATCCATTGGCATGTAAATATTTCCTTTTTCATGGCATTCATCTTATATATACTTAAAGTCTAAGACAATTCTAAGATGCATTATGTAGTTGGTAAATGAATGTTTAAAAAAATAACAAATGCATTGCTTTAATTAATAGGGTCTTGCATGTGATGTAAAATAACTGCACGCCCCTCAGATCCAGACTTCTCCCTACAGTTCAGTCCAAACCTCTGTAATTACTTTTTTATTTATTTAACCAGGCAATTCAGTTAAGAACAAATTCTTATTTACAATGACGGCCTACACCGGCCAAACCCAGAAGATGCTGGGCCAATTGTGCGCTGCCCTATGGGACTCCCAATCACTGCCGGTTGTGATACAGCCTGGAATCGAACCAGGGGGTCTGTAGTGACGCCTCAAGCACTGAGATGCAGTGCCTTAGACCGCTGCGCCACTCGGTGCATGTCCTAGATTACTGGTGCATGTCCCAGATTACAGACAGTCTTGATTAAAATGTGTAAAACAAAGATACAAAAGATAACCTTCTGTGAAAGTGTGTTTACTTTAAATAGTGAAAGCCCATAGAGTGAGGTCTGGACTATTAAAGGGGATTTATGATATATGTGAGATGATCCCAACCACCTGCGTATAATTCAGTGTCCCTTTGTTTGTGACTCCGAATTGATCTTATTTTATAGAGGAATTAGGCCAGCATTAGTGAAGATTATGTTATCAAAGCCATTACCGTGGATGGATTACCCTATAAACTAGCTCTAAGTATTAGGCCTTTTATTACCTTTTAGACTAAAGGAAAAGAAAACTCTGGATCAGAGATCCAATATAACATTTATCACAAATAATGTCCTTATTAGAAACATATTTCTCCTGTTAAAAAAAGAAAAGGAAAAAAAAGCCTTTCGTGAACTAACACTTGCACTTGACGAAACCCCACCCCCCCCACCCCCCCACCCCCACCCTTACTAGCTCTGACTTTGCTGATAGCTACTTTATTGAAGAAAAATGTACTTACTATGACTGTGATATGTGGTTGTCCCACCTAGCTATCTTAAGATGAATGCACGAACTGTAAGCCACTCTGGATATGATGTAAATGTAATGAACTCAGATAATGAACAACAGATTATATTGATCTGGATTAAAATGTTCTGAAAAAACTGGCCTATGGGTTAATCAACATACCCTGTAGTGAACAAAAAGCCCACAGAAAAGTAGACATATAAAGGTGAATTACTTAGTGAAAGTATAGTATTATCCCCTGCTGTGGGCCTCATTAAAATGTTACATAAAACTGGGCTGTCACTTTGTTACTTGTAAAGTTTTACTGGAGAGCCAGGAATGTGTTTGCAGATGCATTTA